ATTTGCATTATTTTTATTTACAGAAACAATTATTTACATTTAACCCAGTTTCGTGGCAAGTTCTTTAGCCTTTGCCTTTTCTAGCTTGGCGATGCGAGCCACAGACTTGGGACCCAGGACATTGCCTCCCCAGTGACACCAGATCTTCTTATAGCTGTAATTGTTGTGGACAACTTCCACCAGCTTAGCCAAAGCACCTTTGTCTTCTGGATTAACGTGTGTGAAGGCGACAGTGGTGCAGGTCTTCCTATGTACTAGACGTCCCAGTCTTGCCTTACCCCTGATGATGCAGTAAGGGACTCCCATTTTACGACACAGGGCAGGCAAGAAGACAACGAGCTCAATGGGATCCACATCATGAGCAATAACCACAAGCTGCGCTTTCTTCTTCTCCACCAGGCTGGTGACAGTGTTGACTCCTGCTCGGAGGACAAGTGGTCTTTTACTGGGGACGTCCCCTTTGCCAGCCGCTTTCTTCTCGGCCCGGGCCAACAGCCTCTGCTGCTTCTCTTGCTTCGTCTCTGGTCTGTACTTGTGGGCCAGCTTAAGCAGCTGGGTAGCTGTTTGGCGGTCCAGGGCTTGGGTGAATTGGTTAATTGCAGGAAGCACTTTCAGCCGCTTATAGAGGATGGCTCTCTGCCGCTGCAACCTGATATAGCAGGGCCATTTCACAAAGCGGGTGAGGTCTCTTTTGGGCTGGATATCTTGTCCAACGCCAAAATTTTTAGGTCTTTTCTCAAATAGTGGATTTACCACTTTCTTGGCCTCCTGCTTCTTGACAACAGCAGGGGCCGGAGCCACCTTCTTCCCCTTGGCCTTCTTTGCTTTCGGCATGTTCGGCGGTAGGACGAGAGAGAAAGGTCAGCAGTTCTTAATATATTTTTTCACTGTTAGAAATATGCTACATTCTCACTAGAAGTAGCAGCTCCTAAACAGTGGTGTAGTGACCCATCCTTCTTGGTTTGGAGGGAGCAGGTTAGGGGGAAATGTGAGAGTCTCTGGGTTGGATGATCTAGAATTTAAACCTAAACCTGGCTTCAAAGCCTATGTTCTAAGCCACTATACATTAATAGCGCCCAGCCTTTTCATCTTTCACGGCCCAAAGTATCTACCAGGAATATTCAATGAATATGAGTTGAGTTAAATTGTGACTATTTAGCAGTTATAATAACAAAGGGTAGAATGAATGGGTTCCAGGAATGTGATAGACCTGCAAGTATTCTCTATCAGATCCCTTTCTCTACCTACAAATGTTTGATCCTTCTGTTTTGCTCAAGAGGCCCAGCCCTGTGGATCTGGCTGGTTAACTTTGTGGAAGGTGGGGACAGGTACATAAAATTGGGAAGAGATAGAGGAACTAAAAGCAATGAATGGGTTGCTGCCTTGAGTAAGAAATTCCAGTCCCAGCTGAAACTCTTACCTTAATGTGGAACTTGAAATAAATGGGATCAAAAGAGTTTTGAAGAGCTAGGAAACATGAGAACGAGATGGTACCTGTCTGATTAAGGGGAAGGGGAGTTCACAGATATGCTTCTTGTAGAGACTTGCATTGGCTGGTGGTATCTTCACTAAAAGACTGGATATGAAAGAAAGAGCAAACTCTTTCCCGTGCAACTAGATTCAAGTCAAGTTTAGGAAATTCCTGCTTGGGTTAAGCCTTCGCTATGCTGTGTTGCCACAGTTCATTGTTAATATCTCAAATGCAGAATTTAACTGACTTCATTATGTTAAGTACCTACTCCAGGGTAGGTGGGCCCCAGCCATTTGTCTATTTCTCCTTATTAAGACTGACAGAATAAATAATTGATGAAAAAATGCCAACATACTTGTGAAACCCCAACTATAAACATTATGGTTTATATAACAAGTATGTGTGCTTAGTGTGTTAGAAGCCAAAAAAGAAAAAAAAAAGAAAAAACCCACAACTATATAAAAAGTAGGAAGTGTTTTGCACTCTGTGATGAACAGCATACTGTATTTCTTTCAGATTAAAATGGAAATGACTCTAGGCTCTATCTGCAGAATTAAAGAAATTCCATGATCACACTCCTGCCTTCCCAATCCCTTCTACTCGGTTATTTGGATTCCTAGGGGCTTGTGCACCAGAACATAGTGTGCCAGGTTCCACTCTCAAGTGACTAGGGGCCCTGGTGAATCCTTATTCACTGCTGCTTTCACTGTCTGGGCTCTGCTGGGGTCAACAATTTTCTACTGTTCCTCTGGCCCTGTGGCATCAGAGATTAGCAACACGTCAACTTACGCAGTTTGCTGCTGAGTGTTATGGACTTTGAAGGAGAGTGGCATAAAAGGATAATACAACTTGCTCTCTGATAGTTCAGAACACTTAGCACAGCCATGCTTCTCTATTGTTGTTCACCAAAACCAAAGCACATCCAGGCCTCTCCCTATCTCAGAAAGGACAATCATGATTCCTTTTTTGAATTCTAGAATTCCCTCAAGGTCTGGGATTCTTTCTTTCTGCATCCTTCTAAAATAGGAATGGTACCCTCTGTTCCTTCTTCCCAGAGTGAAACTTAAAGGACCATTAAAAAGGCTCTAGAAACACAGGACTCTGTCCACTGCCTTTTCTTGGGGCTGAGACTAGAATAGCTTTTATTTCTTCTTAACAAGTTGTCCACTCCACGAAGAGGAGACTTTTTAGTATGTAATAAAAATTCCCAGGAGAGTTCTGGACACAGTGTATAACTGAGATCACCTGGCCTAGATTCTCCAGCAGTATGGATATGCTTTGATAAGCAGCTATACCTGTTAATATGACAAGCAATCATATCAAGTTCAAGGCATAAAATGTTAGGAGCAATCATAGCCAAGTCACTCTGGTATATCAAAGATGCATAGAATAAGAATTTGTGCTATTGTTAATTGCTCTTTTGCAAAGCATTGAGTTTCCTTTCTAGTTATGACCTAAACATAAAGAAAACCTATGTCATAATGTTTAACCTTTATACATTTTTTTTAGCTATTTTTAAAAAATATTCTGGTAGAGAGTCCAGAGAGGAAACATTGCCAAGTTTGCTGCCAAGGGCCTCACAGAGAGAAAACTGAAGAAGCCAAACTCACAGGGCTTTACAGCCTCCTGATATCCTGTCACTGCAATGGTTTGGCAGTAATTTCTCAGGACCAGTGTGGAGGGGAGGGAGGTAGAGAAATCTCCCCATAGGGCTATACTTGGCTATGATTGCTCCTAACATTTTATGCCTTGAACTTGATATGATTGCTTGTCATATTAACAGGCATAGCTGCTTATTAAAGCATATCCATAGTGCTGGAGAATCTAGGCCAGCTGATCTCAGTTATACACTATGTCCAGAACTCTCCTGGGAATTATTTAGGTAATGATGGCAAGACTGTACTCCTGAGTCATTGACCCCCTCTCATGATGGGTTGGTTCCTCCTTTGGAAGCACATCCTTGAGTCCTTTCCCTGTTCACTGATCTCAGTTGAGACCATTTAAAATGGTGAAACTCATTAGAGTTGGGGATTGAGAATTTTATTTTCCTGGAGACTCCTTGGTTTCTAGACAAATGCATTCATTCTCTTCTTAGCATCCTTTGAGCTGAATACACAAAGCTGATAGGGGTGTGGGGTACACTGTCAAGCCACAAACATAACCTGCTCTGTAATAATACCTTCCTACATTGTTATCTTGCTTTGACGTGGTATGATTCAAGTCTTAACCTTAACACTTTTTAAGTAGTTTCACTCTATTAAAGGCATCATCCTCAACTGAAACTCACTAAAGCATATATACATCACGTGGACTAGCTGAACACAAAGCTCTTAATCTGAAGTTGACCTATTTAGTAAACTTATAGCTCAGAATTTGACCTCATCACCTCAGGAAATCAGGGATAAAATTTGTCTCTATATTGTTTCAGGTACTTTTTTAAACAATCAAGCTTTTCTAAATTTGATCTGGGTATCAGAGATGTTATTTGTTCATCAAGAAAAAACAAAATACTTTCCTATTTTTAAAAACTTCTTTCTTTCCTTTTCTCATTCTTTCTTTTCTTTCCTTCTTTCTTTCTTTTTGTTTTTTCTTTCTTTCTGTCTTTTTTTTTTTTTTTTTTTTTTTTTTTTTTACATTATTCTTTTTTAAACCTTGGTTTGGAAGGAGCCAAGTGTGAAACCATGGGTGTGGGCCTCCACATGCCAAAGCCTTAAGTAATTCACTTACACTGTGTTTACGGCTCAGTTGAGGCCTCTGAATTGCACTCAGTACAGGTGGTAGTGTGTGCAGAGTACATGTGATCGGCACTGAACAGTTAAGAGGTTCAATCTTGGGTTAGGGAGGGAGGAAGAGAGAATATAAACAGCCTAGAAACCTGTTTAGATCATGACAGGTGGCTGTTGATTAGGACAGGCACATAACTCACCTGGGTGCCTTAGTGAAAATGTCATGCCTTATTTTAGAAGGAAATTAGATTCAGTGATAAAAGATAGAACTCTAAGGAACAAATAACATTCTAATAACATATTTAAGTGTGTGTCACTTACCAATAAGATCAGTTTTCAAATTTGCTTTTGACTAAGTTTAAAATAAAAATAAAACATGATGTTGAAATGATGGATCTGTGAAGAGAAATTTGTTAAAAATGTACAAAAACTGATGGGAGATTATGAGACATACTTTTCCCCCTACAATTCTATGAAATGCTAGTTTTTTAAAAAGATAATTTTATAATAACTCATAAAATTTGATCGAGTAAAGGCGAATCCATAGAGATGTAAACAAATCAGTTATGACCTGGGGCTGGAATGGTAGCAAAGGTTGACCGTAAACTGGCACAGGTATTTTTTTGAGGTGATGAAGATGTTATAAAACTGGACTGTGGGGCCAAATGCAGTGGCTCACACCTGTAATCCCAGTACTTTGGGAGGCCGAGATGGGTGGATCACCTGAGGTCAGGAGTTTGAGACCAGCCTGGCCAACATGGTAAAACTCCATTTCTGCTAAAAATACAAAAAATCAGCCGGGCATGGTGGCACACATCTATAATCCCAGCTATTTGGGAAGCTGAGACAGGAAAATCTCTTGAAACGAGGAGGCGGAGGTTGCAGTGAGCCAAGATTACACCACTGCATTCCAGCCTGGGTGACAGAGGGAAACTCCATCTCAAAAAAAAAAAAGAAAGAAAGAAAAAGTAGAATTGGGGTTGCTATGGATGGAAGGAAGTGAGGGAGAAATGGGGAGTTATTTAATTGGTATACAGTTTCAGTTTTGAAATATGAATAGCCTTCTGGAGATGGACTTTGGTGATGTTTGTATGTACTTTACACCACTGAACCACTTAAAAAAGGTGAAGATGGCAAATTTTATGATATATGCATTTTACCACAATTAATTTTTTTAAAGTTTTTTTAAAAATTAACCAGGTGTGCTTGTCTGTTCTAAAAATGAAAACATCAATTTTATCTACTCTGATCTCTGGAATATATAAATCATTAATAAATGATTGTGGCCTCTTTTCCTGCCTCTGAGCCACATTGTGGTGGAGGCTCACCCATAATCAACCACCATGGCTCTGGATTGCTAGAGGTGTAATGGATGTTAATACTCCTTTACAAGAGGTGTTGAAGACCTCCCTCATCCATGGTGGCCTAGCATGTGGAATTCATGAAGCTGCCAAAGCGTTAGATGCCTGCCAAGCCCATTTTTGTCTGCTTGTATCCAAGTGTGATGAGTCTAAGCATGTCAAGTTCATGGAGGCCCCTTGTGCTGAACACCAAATCAGCCTAATTAAGGTTGATGACAACAAGAAACTAGGGGAATGGGTAGGCCTCTGTAAAATTGAGATAGGGGAAGCCCCTTAAGGTGCTTGGTTGCAGTTGTGCAGTAGTTAAGGACTATGGCAAGGAGTCTCAGGCCAAGGATGTCATTGAAGAGTCCTTTAAATGCAAGAAATGAACACATAAAACTTTGGCGCTCTCTCTCTCTTTT